TACCATCTCATATAGCTAGTGATGCAGCGGATGACCCAGAGGAAGAAAGTCCTTTAGCAAATCCCTTATCAGTAGTATCACAGGTACAACCCTCAGAGACCCCTCGAAAATCCTCTAGTTTTATCGGTCGGTTTAGCCAGCTTTTGTCCTTTGACATGGAGGAAACAAAGGCATTACCAACCGAGGAAGAACTTGCAGCTTATAAACTCGCTCGTGCTATAGTAAAAGATTGTCACATTGATAGCATATTCTCAGACAGCAAGTTTCTCCAAGCTGAGTCTCTGCAACAGCTAGTAAACTCTCTGATAAAGGCAGCCGCAAAAGATGAATCTAGTGCTGTGTTTTGCCTAGAGCTTCTGATTGCAGTAACTCTGAACAACCGAGACAGAATCCTACTGATCTGGCAAACTGTTTACGAGCACATCTCTAGTATAGTTCAATCTACGATGACACCATGCCCGCTTGTTGAAAAGGCTGTGTTTGGTGTCTTGAAGATTTGTCAGAGGTTATTGCCTTACAAGGAGAATCTTACAGATGAGCTTCTGAAATTACTCCAACTGGTTCTTAAACTTGATGCAAGAGTGGCTGATGCATACTGTGAGCCCATTACACAAGAAGTTGCACGTCTTGTAAAAGCGAATGCATCTCACGTCAGGTCTCATGTTGGTTGGAGAACAATCATATCTCTGATATCAATCACAGCTCGACATCCAGAAGCTTCTGATGCTGGATTCGAAGCTCTCAGGTTTATAATGTCAGAAGGAGCTCACTTGTTACTAGCAAACTACATTCTCTGTTCGGATGCAGCTAGGCAGTTTGCTGAATCCCGCGTCGGGGAAATCGATCGGTCTATCTCAGCCATTGACTTAATGTCAAACTCTGTGTTCTGTCTTGCGAGGTGGTCTCAAGAGGCAAAAAACTCTGTCGGAGAAGATGAAGCTATGAAGAAACTAAATCAAGACATCGGAGAGATGTGGCTTAGGCTTGTGAACAACCTCAAAAGAGTGTGTCTCGATCAACGCGACCAAGTGAGAAACCACGCCATCTCAATGCTACAGAGATCTATAGCCGGTGCAGATGGGATCATGTTACCACAGCCTCTATGGTTCCAATGCTTCGACGCCGTAATCTTCCCGTTGCTGGACGAGTTACTCGCTGTTTCAATCGAGAACTCAAGAAAGACATTCAAGAAAACAGTTGAAGAAACGCTTGTGCTCGCCACAAAGCTCATGTCAAAGGCTTTTCTTCAAGCTCTCCAAGACATCTCACAGCAACCATCATTCTGCAGACTCTGGCTTGGGGTCTTGGACCGTATGGAGACTTACATATCGACCAAATTCAGGGGGAAACGCAGCGAGAAAGTGCATGAACTCATACCAGAACTGCTGAAGAACACGTTGCTGGTGATGAAGACGACGGGAGTTTTATTACCAGGTGATGATATAGGAAGTGATAGTTTCTGGCAATTGACTTGGCTTCATGTCAAGAAGATATCTCCTTCTCTGCAGTCTGAAGTGTTTCCTCAAGAAGAGCTTGATCAGTTTCAGAGACGTAACGCAAAGCCTAAGGAAACGAAGGCTGAGACGGTGGTGGAGTAGAGATGATTTGTTCTATACAGAAGAAGAAAGCATATTGAAGAAATTATTTAGAAACTTTATCGAAATGTTTTTTTTTTCTTTTTGCAGTATAGCCTTTTGTTTGGATATAGTACTTTGGAGTTTAAAACTTTTGGTTTTTATGGAATGGCACGTTGAAATTATGGTTTTTGATTGTATATATATTGGGAGCGTGCGTTGGTCACAAGCCTAACAAACCGTTTCTTGAGTTACCTACCAATAGGAGGGACAGATCAAGTTTTCATTCTGTAATCATATTTGAAAAGTAATAAAATTGATACATGCCTGCTCTTTTCACCCACATTAAGGACATGGTTGAAGACTTGAAGTTCACAAAAATGGAAGACGGGTGCAGACCTGATTCCATGCAGCTCATATCTGTCTAGCAAAAGTGCATGTGAACAAACACATGATTCGTTGACTCACCTTCCAGACTACATATGTCCACTTTTATCCCTCGCCTTGCTAGATTATCAACGACCGGAATGGTTTCTAAGAAACCTTTAATTTTGGATCAGTTTGGAGTCGCCAAACCTGATCCTTAAGACCGTTTAGAACATAGGGTATGTTTGGGACAAGAAGAAAAAAAAGAAACGAGGAATGGTTTGGACTTTGAAAAATGCCGATGGAAGAGTATTGTTGCACAGTAGACGAGTTTGCAGTAATCCGGTCAAGCTGCAAGCTCTGATGCAGGCGGGAAAGTATGGCAAGTCACAAAGTCAGTAAAGTGATCATTGCAATTGAAGCTAATGAAATTGTTAGCATCATTAATAAACCAAAAGCCGCCTGCTTTTGAAGAATATTCTTTTGGGATAATTATGATGATGCATAGGTGGGGAGAAAGAAAGTTGGAGTTTGCATCAGCGTTAACAAATAGATGAGCGTTTCTCATGGAATAAGGGCTAGTCGGTTTCAAACTTACAGTCTTATGTGATTACTGGTCATCTACAACATCTTTTTGTTAATGAGAGCGTTTCTAACCCTTAAATGTCCTATGTTCGTATAATGCGGTTTGGTCAACTCTTTTCTATGAAAGGCTCTTCTGTGTTCACTTTTATTTTTTTTTCTTTTTGGTGATTTGGATCATGTTTAAAACTTAGCATGATTTTTTGGTTTGAGCTGATCATTTGTGATCCTTTTAGCTGTTTCTAGTTGCTCTCGCTATATAGATTGTTTTAACATACTAATATATAACATGAAATGACAAATGCTAATGACATATGGATTTTAACCTACTACTAGGATAAGATCCGCGCCTTGCGCGGGATGAAGTTAATATTTTTATTATGTTTTGGAAAATGAAACAAAATTTCGGTTTCATCTAGATTAAGGATGTTCAATCTGGATATCGAGTTTCAGTATTTTGGTTATTAAAATATAACTACTATTCTAAATCCATATTTACTTCAGTTTGATTTGGTTTATATATTAGTTTTCAGTTTATTCAAATTTATACCAAAATACATCATTATTTAGTTTGAAATCATATTATATATTATAAAAATAAATAATTAGATCATATTTAGAGTCATATTGTCAAAAATTCATTTACTAAAAAAATATTATATATTTAACTAAAATAATAAAAAACAAAAAAGGCTTCTATGATCTAATAAAATGATTAAATCTAGAATAATATCAAATCTCTAAATTTTGAAAATAAAAATAAAAACAAAACATAAGCATGAAAGAAATTTTTTTATATTCTTCCATATTTAGTGTTCATCAAATTAATATGTCTTCGATTGAACACAACTCTGTTTTTTTAAAGATTAAAAAAAATTGTAAAGAATTTCAACTAATTATTGTCCATCAAATTTATAATTTTTACTTCAATTTAGTTTTTATTAAAAAGGAAAAAAAACGAAGAAAATAAGAAGCCTCAGTTGCATTAAATTGTTAGTTAATTATATTTCAAGTGATTCAAATGATTTACAAATCATAATTATAGTTCAACTCATGTAACAAATAGATATACATATTTACATGTTTCAGTTTAATCGATTATAAATCAAACTATATCCAAATCTTACGATTTTTATAAAATCACATACATTCGGTTTGTATGGTATATACCAAAAATAACCATATTATCAATTGTGTTAATATCTTTAAAAATAGAAAATTAAAAAAGAAGAACTAATATATTTAAATCATTGATAACAAAATATTTCAATGTGAAAAAATTAATACGTTTATAATTTATAAATGTTCTTGAAAATTCATTGAAATTTTTGAAATTAAAATAAGTATGTAATCTTATATGGTATATAGTTTAATCTATATATATATATATTTTTATTGAATGATACTTTTTACTCATATGGTTTTAAAATCATGTGTATCTTTTTATAATAAAAATGTTAAACTATTGATCATTAATTTTTAACATAATAATTTTAATAGTTTTAGTCATTTATTCTTGGTTTTTTTAATTTCAAAATATAACATAAACGAAAAAAATCTAAAGTTTAATTTTATAGCTAATTTGATTGTTTGATTTATTTTAATAATATAAAATTAAAGAAAAATGATGGAGGAGATACAAATTGTTATCAAATATTTATTATTAGATACATTAATTGTCATATATATATATATATATATATATATATATATATATATATATTTGTCGTTTATGGTAATTCCGTAGCTTTTATTTATGGAAAGAAAATAAAATAGTAATTATATCTAGCAGGACCATCATAAATGCTTCTATCATAAATATAATATCATATAGTTTGACCAATAAATATATCTAGCGACATATAAAAATCGAATGTGGACCTACTTATTTTTCAATTAAATGTAATTGACTACCTAATTGAGTGACACGTAAGCATTGACTCTTTTTTAATTATTACAAAATTGAGGTTACAATTTTTCAAATGTTTTTCAATTAATATATAGGGGATTTTTTTGAAACATTATTGACATGTGAATTAAATTTTATTTATATTTTCTCTTATATACAGAGAAGTTTATGATAACTTTTTTAGTTTGTTCAAAGAATAAATCTTCAAATTTTTTTGTTTTTTTATATTTATTTATCCAATTTCTTAAATGAAATAGCAATAAAATATTATATATATATATATATATATATATATATATTCATCAAACAATATGAAAATAGACATCCAAGTAGAACATGGTAAACATATAAATATAGTTTATAAATTGTTTACCTTATGTGTGACTAAACTTTGTTTTGTTTTTTTAATTGTTAGTTTAACTAAAACTGAAAATGTAAGTTATATATAAAAGAAAAAATAGAACAAAGGAGGAGGTGCTGGTGTAGGAAAGAAAGAGTGTATGCAGATGTACCTTATAATAATCTCATCCCGTTGAATATATTTCCTGAGAAAAAAGAAAAGAAAAGCCCAAAATTCAATCATCAAATTGATCGCCGTCTTCTCTCCACCGGAGCATCTCCTTTCGTTTCTCAGGTCTCGTCTACCTTTATCATCTCTTTTTATTCGTGAATTTGGTGATTTATTGCATCCACGATCAAATGAATCTCGTCAATTATTTCTCTCTTCGATCGGTGAATGTTGCTTTTTGTAACCCCTCGTGATTTAGTTAGGAATCCATAAGTTTTTTTTAGGGTTTACGAATTGGTTTAGACCATCAATCACCGATCCTCTGCCGATTGAATTTTCACTTTCATTATGTTTTGAGTTTCCAACATCATCATCATATGTGTTTTTGCAGAGTTGTGTATTTGCATTCAATTGGAACAATGAGTGAGGTGTTCAACGGATACGAGCGCCAATACTGCGATCTCTCCGCCAATCTTTCCAAGAAATGCTCCTCTGCTCTTTCCCTTGACGGAGGTAACTATACGCCAACTCTCTCTCTCTCCTTAGCTTCCCTCTAGAATCGCTGACAAAAAAACTTTAGCTTGTTAATGTAGCAATGAACGAGCGGGAGACCTTTTTTTAGATCATTACATTAACAAGCTTAAGCTTTTTTGTTTCTTACAAGCTAACCTGGTGTCCAATCAACGAATTTTCTTTGGTTACTACAAACCCTATTGTCTCTTTTCATGTCTTGTAAGGACATAAGATTTGTGCTTTCTTTGGTTAAGGTCTGCGGAAAGAGCTTTGGTTGCATAACATCATAAGTTGCATAGATGATACCTTTACTGATTGATTCATGTGCAGAACAAAAGAAGCAGAAGCTCTCTGAGATAAGATCTGGCCTCGAAAATGCTGAAGCATTGGTATGTGATGTCACTAGGCATTAAATCGAATGCAATACCATCCGGTTTTAATTTTATACATTTTTAAGTAACGATACTTTGTTGTTATTCACCAGATTAGGAAAATGGATGTTGAGGCGAGAAGCCTTCCACCCAGTGTTAAGACCAGCCTCCTTGTTAAACTAAGAGAGTTCAAGTCTGATCTCAACAACTTCAAAAGCGAAGTCAAGAGAATCACTTCTGCAAACTTGAACGCTGCTGCTCGAGACGAGTTGCTTGAAGCTGGTATGGCTGACACAAAGACGGTATGTATCAATAGCAACTCTCTAGTATTTGTTCAATCTCATCTTTGACATTTTTTTGGTTGATTACGACATTTGAGGACAGGCTTCAGCTGATCAAAGAGCGAGATTGATGATGTCAACTGATCGATTAGGTCGAACTACAGACAGAATCAAGGACAGTCGAAGAATGATGATTGAGACGGAAGAGCTTGGTGTTTCTGTCCTTCAAGACTTGCACAGTCAGAGACAGTCTCTCTTACGCGGTGGCGACACGGTATGTACTCTCTTCAACATTTTCTTTATCTACAACGTAATAGGTATCTCTTTTTAACCAGTAGTTAGAACTCTGATACGTATACAGCTTAGTGGAGTGGACGAAAATATCGGAAAGAGCAAGAAGATCTTGACAGGCATGACGAGGAGGATGAACAGGAACAAATGGACTATTGGAGCCATTATTACCGCTTTGGTCGTCGCCATTATCCTCATCTTGTACTTCAAACTCACCAAGTAAAGCCTTTCTGTATCTAAAACTCAGACCGAATCTTTGTCACTGAACAAATGTTGTGTTCGTTTGTGAGTCTTTTATTTATCCTTTCTGTGTGAAAAAATGTTATTGCCTTTGCCCCGTCTTGTACTCTTGTTTGCGTTTGCGTTTACAGTGTGTATTTTTCTGGTATTTTTTTACTAAATGATGCAAATTTGTTTTTTTTTTTTTTAATATAAACGCATAAATTACATTTCAGATAATTGAAGCTCTAGTCTTGAGATTAAAAACTACTAGTTGTGTTGTGTGCTTTTCTTTCATTCTTGAACATGTTATAATCAGCTACCAAGCTCTCAATAACCTTATGCTTCATGCTATCCACCAAACCACTCAAAATCTGTAAAAATACAAATCAAAACCAACGATCATGTATAAACCTGGAATATAGCATTTTTGAGTCCTTAAACGCATATAAGAAACCGTTTCTAACCGCATTGGCCACGCTTCTCTTAACATCTTCGGGTACAAACGCAAGAACTGAAGGAAGAACGAAGCTTACGTTCATCTCTAGTTGACCTTTGAGCCTTGTGTGGCTTCCGCCTCGGTCAGGGTACAATGCTCCTTGAACTCCAAGAGTGAAATCAGACTGTTCCATGACCTGACCAACCCCTTGAAGCTCCCATTTCATCTATTAATAAACTGTTAAACGGGTACAAAGAGAGAAAGATACTTACTTAAGAGTTGTGTCTGTTTCATTACCATGTTAAGCTCGAGGACTTTTGTTATGTCTCGAGGTACATCCGGCGGGTAATCTTGACCGTTGGATTTACATCTAATCCGCATGTCCACCACCGGCCATGCAGTCAGGAAGAGGAAATTTATAGGTGACATGTAGATTCTCCATTCTTCCTGCACAAATAAAATATCGTCCAGCAACGAATGCAAGCCCACTTACATAAACGGGACATGGATGTTAGAGCATCTTTTACATTATCCTTATATTTATCATTTGATATAAATTCATAAAAAATATAAATAACAAAAACACACACACACACACACACACACACACACATATATATATATATATATAAATTATACAACAAAATTAATTAATAAATTCTTACACTAAAATATAAAATTATAAACTTAAATCTTATATATTAAAAGAGAAGTTATGATTTCACTTCATGTGTGATATTTTAAAATGGATCATCTAATAGAATTTATGACACTACATTATTCAATCATTAATAATATTCATTAGATTCACTAATAACATTTATTGGGCTTACTAGAAATTTTTATTGGGCTAATAAAAATTAGATGATCCATTGGATTTATAGATATTATAATAAAATACATGTTTAAATTAAACTTATATAATTTAATATAGCAATAGTATAAGTTAATTATTTATATATTTTTGATGTTAAACTTTAAAAATTATATAGTTTATTTTTAAAAATAACAAAATCATCATTTTCTAACAATAATTAATCTATACTATATAATAATTAATCATCATTTTTGATATACACACCTTATATAATATATATTAATTTAGAAGTAAAAAATGTTTATATAAAAATAAATGAAAACAAATACCCGCGCAGTTGCGCGGGTTGAGATCTAGTATATAATTAAACATTAAGTACAAGTAGAATACGAAATTTTTGTTGTCTAATTTTAGTTTTTTTTTAAATACTAAATTACAAACAAATGTTCTAATTTTTATTATAAAATTTTTATTCAGTTTTATGTCTAAAACTTAAATTTATAAAAATTTAAAATTAATTTGAAACATTATGAGATATAAATGTTTTAATGATTAAAACGATAAACAATAAAATATTTATGTGTAAGGACTAAAATACAATTAAAAATATGAAACTTCAAATTTAGAATTTTGAGTATTGAAACTTCAAATATGAAATTTCTCTTCTGAGAATTTCAAATTTGAAGTTATTTTCTTAGAGTAAAAAATTTATATTTGAAATTATAGAGTTCCTTTTTTCGAGATAGCTAGTTTTACCTCGTTAAGCCTATAGCTTTTGGGTTTATCGGGAAACATTGCTTTGAAAACCCTAGACTTATCCTCCAAATACTCATCGAACAACGCCTGTAGTTTCCCAAAAACATCAAACACATTTTTACACTGATGCATATAACATTATAGAGAATGAGACCTGAGGAGACTCATGCAACTGAACATCAGTAGAGATTTTGGATGAATATTTGGAGGGTTTTGCAGTTGACAACTGGCACTTGGCTCCCCACCGTAATGTTCTCATCTCTGCCGCCGCCATCGACCTGCGTCTTCCCAGCATTGTCGGACACGAAAAAACTGTTGAGCTTACAGCCATGTTACTAGTCTCTCTCTCTAAAGGTCTTCAAGATTGGATGATGTTTGATCTTTCCCACATGTTGGAAAAGATAAGGGGATATATCACTACAAGAAAAATAAGATTTTCTGACGGTCAAATCCGTCAAAAATCCGTTAGAAAAGACCATTTCTAACGAATTTCTGACGAAATTGACCGTCAATTCTATGTCGTCAGAAATATTTTTTCGGTTAGAAAATGGTTAGAAATTTCTGACCGTTTTCCAACGATGACAAAACCGTCAAATATTTCCAACGGAATATCCCATCAGAAATTTTCTAACCGAATTAACCGTCAGAAATTTCTAACGGATTAGCCCGTCAAAAAATATATATAATTAAAAAATTAT